TATCATCATATGAAGAAAGGGATAGTTTTTAATCGTTCACTATCTCTTGCAATATCTTTTTATATTCTTATATTTCAGCAACCGATTGGTGATTTCCTCTATTTTCTGATCTATTTTATTGATGACCTTGCATATAAGACTTAAACACATATACACAGTAATAAATATTATTTTAATATAATATTTCGATATGCAATGATATAATTATAAAAATCCAATATGAAAGAAATTTAACGTTGAAAATACCCTGTTAAAATACTTTTTTCTTGTTCTTTTGAAGCGTTTTCATTTAAGTTTATCAAAAGCGTGCATTTATTTTGCGAGAATTGTCTACTTGAGGAGGGGACGGAGGGCACATCCACAGGGAAAATGACAGTGAGAAGCGGCGGGCAAGAGAGCGTTAAAGCCCCCAGGAGCGGAAAGAAGCGTGTTGGCGTAATCTTAAGTAATGCGTGCCATTCGTCAGTCGTTAAATTTTACAGTGGGCGTGCGACAAACGGGCGGCGGGATGGAGTTGCAAATCAGGAATTTGTCACGCGGAACCGCTTTTAAACGAGTGGTTTCAGAAGTCGCGGGCATCTCGTCTGATAACGCTTTTAAATTTTCGTTAGCGCCACGCTGCCCTCGTCTAAACGACGTAAAGTAAGAAAAACGGTCACACAGTGGGGATACACGCTAGACGTTTCCCCCGCTTCCATTCCCCAACTCCCTATATTTATATCGCCCGTTCCATCGTGATCTCCTCGAATGGAGCGAGATCCACAGACGTCTATGAACCAACCTCGAGTGGATTTTCGCGAACAAATGTCCCCAGAATTATCCAATGTTGCTCTATTGTAACTGTATAAAGGAGTCACCGAGTCACGATGATGCTCCAGGAAGTGAAAGTTATAAGGGAATTTTCTGTCTAGAAAACTCGTGCATAGATTCGAAATAATCGATAGAGAGTAATAATACTTAGAAATATCTTTGTAAATTTTATACATAAATTTATCAAACTTGATTTCTTTGAATAATAACAATATATAAAATGCAATTCTTTTCCGTTAATCCACGTTAAAAATTATTCGAGGATAATTAATACCAATTGCATATATTTACCAAATTATTCCATGTTAAGGAAGAGATATATATACATAATAGTTAAAAATAATTGGAGAAGAATTGCCATTATCTGTTCTAATTTCCCTCCATTAACAACCAGAAGCAAAACCGTTCTTTATTTTCCCTATATACCTTCTATTTGCCCAGCAGCATGAAATATGCAAATCTCGCACGGTGAACCGAGCGCAGATATATAACCGGCCAATATTAACAGATACCTATCGCGATCATTGGACGGGAATCGAAAACGATAAAGCACGATACACCCACCAACGTATCCATTCCGCGCACATACACGCACACGGTGGGCAAACAATAATTACAGAGAGTCGTGGAGCCTTGGACAAGCCCGAGAAAATTCCGATATAATCTCCAGAACGTGCGCGAACACATACACACAAATACTTTCATCCTTAACCAACTCTTGCTTGCTCTTTCTTTTATATTTCTTCTCCGTTCGCAACACCACCATCGTCGCGCAAGATGGCCGGTTCCTTCGTTGTACCTCGTTTTATATTATTAAGTTTCTAACGTACTGAAAAGAGGCGAGTAAACGCGGTACCGGGGTTGGGGGACACAGGATAACACGAAGCAACGCTAATATTGCCGAGAATCTTGCCAAATAGTCGCAATAAGCGTCCCCCGGTTTCGGTCGTGGCTTCTTGCGACACCGCATCCTGATATGTTCCAGCAGAGGGGCCGGATGGTGGCGAGCAAATCCTGCTTTCCTCCTTCCGAGTGATTATCAAACCCTACCCCCTCGGCTCCAGAGGTTAATCGAGCCACCGCGCGGGGAAGAAATTTCGGCTTCATTGCCCGTCGAGAAACTCCTTTTCGTGCTCTATCGTGCACGATAAAGTCGGCTCAAAGATTATTTTCTTCTCTCCCGTTTCGAGGATGTGATTTTCTTCTATTATTTTCCTTCTTTCTTATCAAAAAAAGAAAAAAAAATAGAGAAAGAAAGGAAAAAAAGAAGAGAAATCTCGTTATATCTCGCGAAATATTTATCGAGAAATGGGTATGTCGATATCGTTGTCGAGAACGTTTGGTTGAAAGTGTCGATGGAACCGATGAAATTTATACCTGATATTTCGAGGTAACGCGAAATTCATGTTAATCGTGTGTGTATATATATATATATATATATATATAT